AAGGAGTTCCAGATATTTATGTTTTTTCCAAGTTGGGACTCCTACTCCCTATCCTCTTCCTCGGGCCCGATCAAGACTTCGGGGTCGCCTTCAACATTTTTTCGGGAATGCTGTTGAACTCTCTGACGCTGTCTTGGCACTTTCTTGTATCGTCTTCGTGTCCTCTTGGCTGCCCTTGAAACCGCTGTAGATATCGAGGTCCCATGATCCCATGAATTGAAACCGTGGAGTTTTAGTTTTTTGTTCAAATTCACTCCCTTGCACGAAGACCCCGAGAGGCATCCCAACAGACCGTGGCCTGCATCCACAAAACGTCGAACCCACAGCCCAGGCACTACAACTTGAAAACACATGGAAATCCCACAATTCCGTTTGTTTTTCTTCCTCGAAGTTGGTCCCCTTGTCTATTCTTGCGCAACCGATCACAATGAAGGCCCCAAACAAGAACCCAGGAAGTCTTCTAGGGCCCCAAATCGTTGAATGCCTAACAGCAATTAGTGATTTCTGCGTTTCCACAGTTCCCGTTCTATACGATTCCGAGGCTTGCGCAGAGCCTCCAAGAGAGTCCCTGAATGCAAGAAGCGCCAAAGATGAGATTCCATGTGTTAGCCCATCAATCCTAGCTAGATTTTGAGCGCGCGCGAAGCGCGCGCGATGGTTCTGCATGTATGTATGTATGTATGCATGTATGTAATGTAATGTAATGTAATGTAATGTAATGTAATTTAATGTAATGTATGTATGTATGTATTGTAATGTAATGTAATGTAATGCAATGTAATGTAATGTACTGTACTGTACTGTAATGTAATGTAATGTATTGTCATGTAATGTAATGTAATGTAATGCGTGTATGTATGTATGTATATATGTATGTATGTTTGTATGCTTGTATGGATGTATGTATACATGTAATGTAATGTAGGTGTGTAATGTAATATGATGTAATGTAATGTAATGCAATGTATTGTAATGTAATGTAGTGTAATGTATTGTAATGTAATGTAATGTAATGGGATGGGATGGGATGGGATGTGATGTGATGTGATGTGATGTGATGTGATGTGATGTGATGTGATGTGATGTGATGTGATGTGATGTGATGTAATGTAATGTAATGTAATGTAATGTAATGTAATGTAATGTAATGTAATGTAATGTAATGTAATGTAATGTAATGTAATGTAATGTAATGTAATGTAATGTAATGTAATGTAATGTAATGTAATGTAATGTAATGTAATGTAATGTAATGTAATGTAATGTAATGTAATGTAATGTAATGTAATGTAATGTAATGTAATGTAATGTAATGTATGTGTGTATGTATGTATGTATGTGTGTGTATGTGTTTGTGTCTGGCATCCAGTGGCCGCCGATTAGCACCAGTCTCCTTTGCGCTTCAGTTCGCTTTGAGTTGAGTCTCCTCAGTTTTCTGGCCGATGCATATCTACGTTTGGGATTACAGCCCCTCTAGCACACCACTTATCGTTTGCACCTTACAGTGTGCGACGTGTCGTACACTGTGCTTTCGGCAGTGTTCGATCGCAATTTTGCGCTTCTATCCGCTGCCCGTGCTTGAGGACCCTTTGCGTTGCCGACTTACCAATGTGTGTGTGTGTGTGTGTGTGTGTCTTGTGTGCGCGCGCGCGCGTGTGTGTGTGTGTGTGTGTGTGTGTGTGTGTGGAGGGCGATGGGCTGACTGTCTCTGCGGGGGGGCAGCGGGGATAGGTTGCTGCCTACCGTTCCTTCGCATGCTTTTCTTTCTTCTCCTTTACATTTTGCACTGCCTCCCCCTTCGCCTGCCCTGCCCGGCCCCACCCCTTCCCTCATCCCCTGGCCTCTTCGTGCAGTAGCTCTGGGCCTCCGCAGGCGCAGACGGGCGACTCCGATTCCTCGAAGGCAGCCGCCGCTGGTGCCTGAGCCTCACCCTTCTCCTCGTTCTCCTCCCAGTTCTCCTCGTCCTCGTTATCGTCATCGTCGTCGTCGTCGTCTCATCGTCGTCGTCGTCGTCGTCGTCGTCTCATCGTCGTCGTCGTCGTCTCATCGTCGTCGTCGTCGTCCCATCGTCGTCCTCGTCGTCGTCGTCGTCGTCGTCGTCGTCGTCGTCATCGTCCTCGTCGTCGTTGTCGTCGTCTTTGTTTTTTCCTGTCAGATCCTAATCGAATCGCCCTTCGTGCATCATGCAGCCTCGGCAACATGTTCCGCTGCAGGATGCTATCCATGCACCGGGGCACCCGGGTCGAAAGGCCCATGCATGTTAATCGCCGCGGATGCGCGGAGTGCATGGAGCCAGGCAGGACAGGAAGGAGGGTGGCGTAGAGGATCGGTGTGAGTAGTCCAGGACTTTAGCGCTTGTGCCATCGGGAAGGAAGGACGGAGGGCGGGAGCTCGAGGGGGGATGGGCTGGGGGGAGGGACATGGGAGGGAGGGGTGATGTGGGGTAAAAGACCAGGGATGGGAGGACAGGAGAGGCATGGAGGGGGGAGGGGGGAGGGAAGGCTGCGAGCAGCGGATACGAATGGCAGCGTGGCGGTGGAGGGACGTTGCGCAGGGGAGGGACGTCACGGAGTAACTGGGAATAGTTCGGTGGTCCAGAAGCAAGGGCGAGAGGTGTGGAGGTAGGAGGCAGGGTGGTGGACTGGGGCAAGAAGGAAGTAGGGTGACGAGGAAGGAAGGGGCAAATGAGGGAAGGACGGGCAGCAGAGGGAGTTAGCTGGCGTGTGCGAGCGTGTAGAGATTTGTAGACGGGTATCCGTAAATCTCGAACCCTGGCCCTGGTTTTAGATTCTGGGCGGTGCCTCCTGGACGCTTTTTTTAGGGCAGCTGCCACCAGGCCAACAGACCCAACTGCGCGTCTAATTGAATGGTTCAAGGTCTTGACTTTAGCCTGTGGTCAGTGAGGCACGCAGAGGTTGGGAGTTGGATCCTTCTGGATGGCGCCCCCCTGTGCGTGCCGTCACCTGGCCCCCCAGGCGCCCGCGGCAAGTTCCGCCACCGTGCCAGCGCAGCACTCTGTGTGGCGATCTTTCGTGAATCGCCCAGACGGCCGTAGCATGTGACGGCTTCTCGTCCTTCGGCTCCAGATGGTCATAAGGTGTGACAGGCTTCTTCGCAGGCTGGAGAAGACAGTCCCTATGGATAGTTGTTCTATGTTTCCATCGAGTTGTAAAGTGGGTCGTCTCTCTGTTCCATGTCCCAGACACCGTAAGATGCGGCAGCTCGCTTTCGCAGTGGAATTGAGGCAACATTATGTGGCAGGTCATCTCCAGGTGGCCCAGAGGGCTGTACGCTTGACGTCATGATTTTGGGTCAGATCCCGCTGGGAGTTTCTTTGAGCCTTCTGGTGGCCTAGTGGGGTTTTCGGGCTATGTTGGATGTCTCGCTGCTGGCTGGGGGGTGTTCGAGCAGTTTTGGAGTGTCCTGGGACCGTCTAGAGGGCGTCTTTGGGCCGTCTTGGCTGGTCCTGGGCCGTCTTACGGCGGTCCGGGGGCCGTCCTTGTGGCGTCTTGGTGCCATCTTGGGGCCGCTTGGGGCCTCTTGAGGTCCGCTTAAGGTGGTGTGGGAGGGCAGAAGCAAGCGAAGGGCTCATACTCGGACAAGAGGTTGATGTTCGTACGTCAAGCTCGCCTTGGGTATTTGATGCGCTGCTTGTTCGGCCACAATGCCCTCGTTGCGGCAGGCCCTGTACTTTCTAGAGCGGGTCCGTTTGTTGGCCAGCTTGGATGCTCTTCTTTGAGCATGCACTCGGTGCCGATCTCCCCCTCTATGCTGCCCCGCTCTTCTCCTTTCGTGTCACTCGTCTTTCCCACCTCTCTCTCTCTCCTCTCCTTCTCCCTCTCCCTTTTCCACTTTTCCCCACTCGCCCTCCCCTCGGCCCCCCCACCTCTGTTCGCTCTTCCTCCCCGCCCTCCCTCCCCTCCTGCCCACCCTCGTCTCCTTTTTCTCGGCTGCTACACCCCAGGATCGGGGGTAACGTGCGTGAGCGACCAAGTGGCATTCACATTCTCGCCGTTGCGGTTCGCTCCGCTGCCAGCCGAAAAGGTCCGTCGCCGCTCCTCTCGTACGACGGTGCCCCCTCCTCTCCCCTCCTCCCCCTGCCCTTTGCTCTCGTCTCTCGTCCTTGCTTCTGATTGGTGGCGGCAGGGTTGGCCATCGGCGCCTGGGAGGGTTAGTCAGGAGGGATCTGGTTGAGGACCATGACGAGGTACTGCAAGTTGGAGCAGAAGAAGATAGTGTGGGTCAGGGGGAGCTGGGCAGTGAACAGGGTCAGGACGGGGGAATCGGGGGTACTCGTAGGACGAGCGACGAGCCCCCCTTCTCGCTCCTTGCTCCTCATTTTTTTTTGCCCTCCATCCCTCCCTCCTCCCTCTCCCTGCTCCTGGCTCCCCACTCCCTGCTCCCCTCTCCCGTTCCGTCGTCCTTTCCTCCTCCCTGCTTTCCCTTCCCTTCTCCCAGCGTCTCCCCCCCATCCACGCCTCACCTCTGTCTCGCCCCTTCCTTTTCGGTTTGCTTCGGGAGTGCGGGGCTTCTGCCGGAGGGGGCGGCAGGGGGTTCTGCACGCTGTAGCCCACCGGTTCCAGCGCGTCGGCGTCGGGAGTGGACCCAGTCATCTTATCACGCGTGAGACGATCCTCGAGAGAAGACAGACGGACTCGTGGACGAGGGAGGTCCAGGGGGAATATCCAGGGCGGGTTGCCATCTGAAGGCCCCCCTGGCTAGTGCGCCATCTGGATTCACCCTTGTGTAGTCACCTGGGAATATTGCTGCCAGGGTCTGTGCGTTGCCATGGCGTCGTCCCGCTGTCAGACTCCGTGCTCGGCCTCGGGGCCCGCGGCTCTCCCGATCGCCGCGGCCAGTGCTTGGCGGAAAGCGGCTCGCCATCCTCGTGCCGTGCTTTGGAGGGGCTCTTTGCAGCCCTTGCATGGGACCCGTGGCTTTGTCCCTCCGCCTGCATGGCGCGTGCTGCTTGAGCCAGCGGAGAGCCGCCGGATCGCCACAGGACTTCTCGGGGCCGGGGCCGGGCCGCCCTTCGCGCCCGCCGTGCAAGCGGGGCCACCGCCCATGGAGGCCGCCGGTGGCGACGCTGGTGCGGAGGCCGATGGACAGGCGCTCACGCTGCACTGGACGCCGCCCGCGGAACATCCGGGCCACGTGTGCCCGTCGCCTTCCCTCCTCCCGCCTTGGATCGTCGTCCAATTCAGGATGGAAGGGCTGGCCCCACGAAGATGGGGCTACGCCTCACATCCGATAGGTGCACCTATCGGTTGGCGATTGGTGTCAGATCTGGTTTGCGATCTCTCTCTCTCTCTCTCTCTCCTCTCTGGTCTTTTTTTGCATATTTCGATGTTGCTACCATTGACCAGTCGTTCCTTGTATCGCGTTCGATCGATTTGTCCAATTATCGGTCGATTTCGCTGTCGGATGTATGTGTGTAAATTTAGTAGTGATTTAATATGTTGTACAACCATGCACATGTATACCAATCAGACCTTGCCTCTGTAGGGGTCCTAGCGGATTAAAGGGTTAGGTGAGGTTGGTCGCCGATTTCGGTGGCCGGGCCCGGGTGCCCGGGTGCCCGGCGGTGCCCGGGTGCCCGGCGGTGCCCGGGTGCCCGGGTGGCCGGTAAGGTGCGTGGCCGATTTCGGTGGCTGGGCCCGGGTGCCCAGGTGCCCAGGTGCCCGGAGGTGCCCGGGTGCCCGGGGTGCCCAGGGGTGCCCAGGGGTGCCCAATAGCCCAATAGCCCAATAGCCCAGTAGCCCTATAGCCCTATAGCCCTATAGCCGTATAGCCCTATAGCCCTGTAGCCCTATAGCCTTGTATCCCTATAGCCCTAATAGCCTTATATCCCTATAGTCCTATAGCCCCATAGCCTATATAGCTCTATAGCCCCATAGCCCTACAGCCCTATGGCCCTATCGGTCACAGTCCTATAGCCCTATAGCCCGATAGCCCTATAGCCCGATAGCCCTATAGCCCTATAGCCCGCCCTATAGCCCTATAGCCCTATAGCCCGAGAGCCCTATAGCCCGATAGCCCTATAGCCCGATAGCCCGATAGCCCATATAGCCCTATAGCCCTATAGCCCTGTAGACCGGTGGCACTGGTAGCAGATTTAACATTATCCCGACAAAGCAACCTAACAGCGATGTGTATAAGCATATCTGCAAGCATTCCCCTTACGATTCAGGTGAGAATGCACTTGTAGAATTCTGCTGTTCTCGCAGTCGCAGTCGCATTCCCAATGACAGTCGCAGTGGCAACGGCCTTAGGATCCAATGGAATCCTAAGGATTCCTAGGGATTCCTAAGGCATCCTTAGGCAACCTTAGGAATCCATGTGGATCCTTAGGAAACCTTAGGAATCCTGATTCCTAGGGATTCCTGGGGATTCCTGAGGATTCCTAGGGAATCCTAAGGATTCCTAAGGATTCCTGAGGATGCTTAACTATGCCTACGGATTCCTGAGGATGCCTACGGATTCCTAAGGATTCCTAGGGATTCCTAAGGATTCCTATGGATTCCTACGGATGCCTCAGCCTGCCTCAGTTTCAGCCTCAGCCTCAGCCTGCCTCGGCTTGCCTCAGCCTCAGCCTCAGCTGCCTCGGCCTCAGCCTCAGCCTGCCTCAGCCTCAGCCTCAGCCTCAGCCTCAGCCTGCCTCGGCTTGCCTCAGCCTCAGCCTCAGCCTGCCTCGGCCTCAGCCTGCCTCGGCCTCAGCCTGCCTCAGCCTCCCCTCCTCCCCCCCCCCCTCCCTCCCCCCCCATTCAGCCTCACCTTGTCTCAGCTTCGGCCTGCCTCGGCCTCATCCTCAGCCTCAGCCTCAGTCTCAGCCTCAGCCTGTCTCGGCCTGAGCCTGCCTCGGCCTCAGCCTCAGCCTGCCTCAGCCTCAGCCTGCCTCAGCCTCAGCCTCAGCCTGTCTCAGCCTCAGCCTGCCTCAGCATCAGCCTCAGCCTCAGCCTCAGCCTGCCTCGGCTTGCCTCGGCCTCAGCCTCAGCCTCAGCCTGCCTCAGCCTCAGCCTGCCTCAGCCTCAGCCTCAGCCTCAGCCTCAGCCTGCATCAGCCTCAGCCTGCATCAGCCTCAGCCTCAGCCTGCCTCAGCCGCAGCTTGCTTCAGCCTCAGCCACGCGTCAGCCTCAGCCCCAGCCAGCCTCAGCTTCAGCCTCAGCCTCAGCCTGCCTCGGCTTGCCTCAGCCTCAGCCTGCCTCGGCCCCAGCCTCAGCCTCAGCCTGCCTCAGCCTCAAGGTCAGCCTCTCAGCCTCAGCCTGCATCAGCCTCAGCCTCAGCCTCAGCCTGCCTCAGCCTCAGTCTCAGCCTGCCTCAGCCTCAGCCTGCCTCAGCCTCAGCCTCAGCCTGTCTCAGCCTCAGCCTGCGTCAGCCTCAGCCTCATCCTGCCTCAGCCTCAGCCTGCCTCAGCCTCAGCCTCAGCCTGCCTCGGCGTGCCTCGGCGTGCCTCAGCCTCAGCCTGCCTCGGCCTCAGCCTGCCTCGGCCTCAGCCTGCCTCAGCTCGGGCATTCAAAATATAGCACAGGACTGGTGTTCTGGGAACACGAAGATCACGAAGTGGCCCACAGTTGGCTCCGGGCAATCAAAATATGGCACAGGAATGGTGTTCTGGGAACACGAAGAACACGAAGTGGCCTACAGTTAGCTCCAGGCATTCAAAATGTGGCCTGGGAATGATGTGATGGGAACACGAAGAACACGAAGTGGCCTACAGTTGGCCCCGGGCATTCAAAATGTGGCCTGGGAATGGTGTTCTGGGAAGACGAAGAACACGAAATGGTCTACAGCTGGCTCCTGGCATTCAAAATGTGGCCTGGGAATGGTGTTCTGGGAACACGAAGAACACGAAGTGGCCTACAGTTGGCTCCGGGCATTCAAAATGTGGCCGGGGAATGGTGTTCTGGGGAGTCCCCGGATCCTCCCCGGCACCCGCCCAGACCCCCCCGGGGAGTCCCGGGGAGTCCCCGGATTCTCCCCGGCATCCGCCCAGATCCCCTTGGGGAGTCAAGATGCTCTCTTTTGACCCCACTAGAAACCCTATCAGTCTTCGCCGTTAGGTAAAGATATGATTGGGTTGTTCTCCGGTATCATTTAATATGTGTATACATGTGCATGGTTGTACATGTTTTTATGGCTGAATAGATTTATTCACCGATGCGATCTACGTCTAGGTGTAAGTCTATATGGTATGTACATATGTGAAATGATACACACATATATCTGTACACGAATACATTAAATGTATTTGTATATTCGTGTATTCACATACCTATACGACCACCCTTCGGGTGATAAGGAGGTTCGGGGGGGGGAGGAACCAACGTCTCACTCGATCGGTCTCACTATCGATCTCCCTATCGATCTCACTATCGGTCTCGCTCGATCGATCTCACTCGATCGATCTCACAATCGATCTCACTCGATATATCTCATTCGATCGATCTCACAATTGATCGGACTATCGATCTCACAATCGATCTCACAACCGATCTCGCAATCGATCTCACATTCGGTCTCACTATCGATATCACTATCGATATCACAATCGAACTCACAATCAACGTCATCATCGTCATCCTCATCACCATCATCTTCATCATCGGGACACCGTTAGCATCATCATCATCAACATCATCATCATCAACGTCATCATCATCATCATCACCAACATCATCATCATCATCGGGACACTATCATCATCACCATCACCATCATCATCCCATCATCATCATCACCATCATCATCATTATCAACATCATCATCACGGGGACACAGTCATCGTCATCATCATCAGCAGCATCATCATCATCACCATCATCATCTTCATCATTGGGACACCATCATGATCACCATCGTTATCAACATCAACATCATAATCAACATCATCATCGTCATCATCATCATCATCATCATCATTGGGACACCATCATCACCGTCATCATCTCATCATCATCATCATCATCATCATCATCGACATCATCATCATCATCAGCATCATCATCATCATTCTCATCGGGGCACCATCCTCATCATTACCAACATCATCATCATCATCATTTTCATCATCATCATCATCGGGACACCATCATCATCACCATCATCATCATTAGCATCACCATCATAATAATCATCATCATCATCGTCATCATCATCATCGGGACACCATCATCATCATCAACATCATAATCATCATCAACATCATCATCATCATCATCACCATGGTCATCTGGACACAATCATCATCAACATCATCATAATCATCATCATCATCATCATCATCGGGACACCATCATCGTCATCATCATCATCAACATAATCATCATGATCATCATCGTCCTCATCATTGGGACACCATCATCATCATCATCCTCATCGACATCATCATCCACATCATCATCATCATCATCATTATCATCTTGATCGGAACACCATCATCATCATCTCATCATCATAATCATAATCATAATCATAATCATAATCACAATCATAATCATCATCAACAACATCAACATCATCATCATCACCAACATCGACATCATCATCATCACCATCATCACCTTCATCATCACCATCATCATCATCATCATCATCATCACCATCATCGGGACACCGACGGGACACCGACGGGACACCTGCGGGACACCGGCGGGACACCGCGGGCCACCGGCCGCCCGGAAGGGAGTCATTTGGTCCAGCCGCGCTTCAGCCACACGGGACACCAGCGGGACACCGGCGGGACACCAGCGGGCCCCCGGCCGCCCGGAAGGGAGTCATTTGGTCCGCCGCGCCTCAGCCACAGGAGACTTTCTCTCGCCCGCCCACGCAGCTTCGCCTCGCCCGCACGGCACGCACGAACACGAAACCGAAATCGATTTCCCGGTAGGGGGGCTCTCCGTTCCACTTCGATCTCACCCCCTCACCTCCAATCCATACCTATACGACCACCCTTCGGGTGATAAGGAGGTTCGGGGGGGGGGGGAGGAACCAACGTCTCACTCGATCGGTCTCACTATCGATCTCCCTATCGATCTCACTATCGGTCTCGCTCGATCGATCTCACTCGATCGATCTCACAATCGATCTCACTCGATATATCTCATTCGATCGATCTCACAATTGATCG